TTGAACAATCCTTGTATTGTTCCTGCTTACAAATTGAAAAGGATGCTGCATTTTTTATTGTATTGTGACCTGATGGACTCATAGATTGGAATAAGAAAGAAAGATTTCGTAGTTGTGTTGAGAATTCTTTTTTTCTTCTTCTTTTTTTAAAGCAAAGCATCAACATAATCTCAGTGAATTTTTATAGTGCTCAAAATCAAACTTGAAAGTAATATTAGAACTGACATAGCTAAAAAGCAACAGTTATATGTTGCTTTCCAAAGCAATCTGATTTAATGCACAATTATTATCATTATCATTATCATTATCATCATCATTTTTCATTTTTCTTCTTCTTCTTCTTCCTTTTTTTTTAAATCCGCACACCAAAAGGTTTGTTTTTTATGATCTTGCTAATATCACAGTATACAAATGACAGGTAATTGCTTGAACATTAAAATGTCTTGCTAACCACAATTAAAAGTATTAATAATGTCATATTAAAAAATTTTCCTATTGTCACCTGGTGTTCAGAAAGATATACTTGCAATAGAAATTTTTAATGCAGATGCTGATGATCTCGGAGACAAACTATAACCTATCCTATTGACAAGGCTATTGACGTATCATTAAAGAACTAGTGGTTGTTTCTTTATTCTGTGTATGATGATAGCACAAACAACAGGAATATAAATAAATTCAGAAATCAACATAATGAGACTTGTCCACTGTGTCATTAGTACATCTCTAATAAGTAATAACATTCTAAAGCATCCATCTCAAGACTGATTGGCAATGAGAAGAGGTCACACAAGCTCATAGACTAGTGTGAAAAGTTATATTTTGCCAATGGGCGATAAAGCCTCAATATCTCTTTAATATAGATATCTAATTCGTAAAAATCAATATGCGCACAAGCTTTTGAAACAAGGATTATGTTGAGATGAAAGTCGATTTGTGCTATTGATTCTACTATGAAATTCTAAATTGTGATTTAGAATTTAGGTTCACTCAAGGTTTTTTGTACAGTGACTTGCTTTGCACAATTGTTTTCCAGATTGCTTCTTGATAAGTGTAGTTTTTATACTTATTCGATGTTCTAAATCATGATATTTTATTGTCTTTTTGAATAAAATTCTACCTAATTTATATTATATTGTATTTTGTAGGTAAAACTTTATGTTTAATGAAGAATTGGAGAAAAGAATGCAAAAGTGGCGAAAAACGACAAAATCCACAGATTAATTCCTTGGAGAGAAATAATATATTAAATGGGTTAGAGTTAAATTGT